CAGGGACCTGCAAAAACTCTATCTAGATCCTTGTATTTTCTCATCGAGATCCTGATCATACTTATTTTACATCCTCAAAATTCGCAAAGTTTGTTCTTAACGAGTTGTCAGCAGGATCTTGACCGAAGCTTGGCAAAATTTTTTTCTTCAAGATTTTAAGTTATTTTATCTTACTTTTGAAAAGATCCAAGATTGATATAACTAAAATTTCTGACAGAATTCGCGTGGCAGGTTGTGGAGCATATGTTAGCTAAAACTTACTGAAATCTTGATTAAAATCTTTTCAATATTTTTAGTTAGGATTCTGATTAGAATCTCAAGTAAATCTTTGCAGGATCTCAGGATATCCATGCATGAGAAACGTTAAGCAGGAATTATAGCAAATCTTAGAACCAATCTTGACAAGATATTTTTATGCTGTTTCAAGAAATCGAGACCATACATAGAAAAAATAGTAGCCTTCAAAGATCTCCGCCAGATCCTTTCTATTTCGTTTAACAATCCTGATTAGGATTAGTATTTTCGTGTAAGTCTGAAAATATTTATTCGTAAAATGTTCCGAAGTTCCTAACAGGAATCATTCAGGATAAACAAGTTTTGTTTTATGACTAATCCTTTTATTTTCCTACTAAGACCATAGTCTGACTTACCAAAGATCTCGGCAAGGTTCTGATGCGAATATTTAGTCCACATCTTGGTGGAAACCTAATAGAATCTTTTCAAAAATATATCTTCATAATCTTTTCAGGATCCTTCACAAGATCTAGACGAAATCTTGTCAAGACTCTTTATTGTCAATTCAGAAAAATATCCGAGACGGATCCTGAAAAAATCTTGAATAGGATTCTGTATTTTTATTTAAGAAAAAGATCTTGACAAGAACTTGAGCCAATCCTAAACAGGATTTCGAATTTTCGTTTGAGAGAAAAATCTTGGCAATAACGTGGAATGATCCTGAACAGGTTTTACATTTTCATTTGAGAAAAAAATCTTGACAGGAACTTGAATCAATCCTAAACAGGATATTGTATTTTCGTTTGAGAAAAAATCTTGACAGGAACTTTAACCAATCCTGAACAAGGTGTTATATTTTTATTCGAGAAAGAAATCTTGGCAGGAACTTCAAAAAATCCTGAACAGGATCATGCGTTTTCGTTTGAGAAAAAAATCTTAGCAAGAACATGAACCAATCCTGAAGAGGATTCTGTTTTACTTTAAAATATCCTGGAAACAGGAATGCTTAGGATTTAAAACAGGATCCTGAATGAAACTTCGCAAGATCCTTCAGAATCAGGATCCTGAAGGATCTTTTCAGGATGTCTCAAGGAATGAACAGGATTGAGACCAGGGTAGACAAATATAATAAGATACATGGTTTTAGTCTTTGTTACAATACATTCAAATATCTTTCATGTTATTAATGTATTGCTTTACAATATGAGATTGTCAAAAAATGGTTTTTTGAGATTAAGTAAAAAAGTTTATTAGAATTTCAACAACAATAAACTCGAGATATATGAATTTAGCAGAAAAATATAAGAAAAAATATTATAATTATAAAATATAAAATGGACAATATATAAACATTTAATGTATTTTATTATTGTATTCACGTGAAATTCGTGTTGGTTTGTATTTCATATGATTTTGATTATTGTTGTGTATCTGATTGATGGTTTCTTGTTGCATTAAATCGAATGGAGTGTCAGGCATACGTTGTGCTTTAATGATTGCTTCTTCCCATTGAGAACAAATGAGATCATTAGCATGATCATTTGATGTAACTGTTTTATTGTGTAAACCCATTGTACTGTAGTTATACTGTCCAACAACAGTCATTTGAATGATTTTAGAAAGCGTGTGACGAACGTAATTTTGCATTATGTATTATCAATTTTGGTTTTTAGTTTATCATTCCTTCTCTTCTTCAAATTTATATATACTCAACGATAATACAATCATATTTATTTTGTAAATCCTGACATATAAAAATTAATCTCAGTGTCAAGAATTATCTTTCTATGTTATTTTTATTTTGGGCGTAGTCATATGTAAAAACCATTGGTATAGTTAAGGGCGTAGTAGATTTTTCGTATATAACCTATTCATCGAATAAGTATAACTCGTAGTGTGAGTACTCGTATTAACCATATCATTAGTTCATTTTCATACTCACGTCTTTACCATCTTGAGGGTGTGGGTGTGGGTGTGGGTGTGAGTCTATATGAGGGCAAGATGAAGACATAAATAAAATATTCACTCTTACCCACAGCCGCATGCTGCAACAGATCATTCAAAAAAGAAAAAAAAAGCAACAAAAATTTCATTACGCAAAAACGTAGTAGTGCGACATTCACTTTCACACAAAAAAACAAAAACTCGAAGCATTTGTAACATAACACTTTCATCGGTTTTATTCATCAGAGGACGTTGAAAGAGAGTAGAACGAAAAAAAAATGTTGTGCTTCTGCAACACACAAAATATTTTTATTTAGAATTTTTTGTGGTAATCATATAGTGATTATTAGTTATAATGGCTACTATTGAATCCTCAAATGAAAGACGGCAGAATCTTCTTCCAAACGAAGTTCCAAAAAATAAAGAAGATATTCAATTGATTTGGCTTGATAGAAAAATGAATAATTCAGATGATAATCATCTCACTCAATCAAAGTTAATCGAACTCAATCCAGCTGTTCAATTTTATTCTCATTTTGATCAATGCCTCGATTTAATCAAATCAATCAAAGACGAACAAATCTTTTTTATTGTTTCAGGTGGTTTTGCTGAACGTATACTTTTACAAATTCATCATTATCGACCTCTCGTTGCTGTATTTATTTTTTGTTCTAATCGTCAACGTTATACACCATTAATGAAAGAATATAAAAAAATTATTGGTATATATACAAAGCAACCTAGTTTAATAGAATCAATTCGAGAAAAAATGAATTTAATTGTAAAACAAACATTAACATTTAATCTTTCTGATCAAAAGCAAAAATCAGCATCATTTCTATTACATCAAATGTTAATTTACGTTCTAAAACAAGCGTCACAAGATGAACACTCAAAAAAAGAAATGCTCAATATGTGCCGTGATTATTATAAAAACAATGAACAAGAATTACAGAAGATTGAAGAATTTCAAAATAATTATACTCGTCACAAAGCCATTGAATGGTATACAGATAAATGTTTTCTTTATAAATTATTAAATAAAGCATTTCGAACAGATGATATTGAATTACTCTATACTTTTCGATTTTTTATTATTGATTTATGTTCAGCTATTGAACAAGAAAATTATCATTTCAAAATTAAAGAAACATTGACGTTATATCGTGGAACACAAATTCCGAATGAAGAATTAGAAAAACTAAAAGAAAACATTGGTAAAACTATTTCAATAAATGGATTCTTCTCAACATCACAAAGTATCAGTTCTCAATTCAATGATTTTATATTGGTTTTATTTGAAATTAAAGTGGATCCATTATTAGAAAGAGTGGTTTATACTGATGTTGGAAATAGGAATCGAATAGAAGATGAAGAAGAAGAAGTTCTATTCAATCTCAATTCACTTTTTGAAATCGTTTCTGTTTGTTTTGATTCTAAACTTGGTGTATGGAAAGTTGAATTGAATGCAATTGATGAAGATGTAGAAAACGTTGAAGAATATCTTTCATTATCGAAACAACAGATGGAAGAATACACACCACTTATTTATTTTGGTAGACTTCTCTTAAATGAATTAGATCAAGTAGATCGTGCAGGAAAATATTTTAATATGTTATTAAAATCACTTCCGCATGATCATTCTGATATTGCAGCTGTTTATCATAATATTGGTATAGTACATGAGAAGAAAGATGAATTGGATTTGGCATTGAAAAATTATGAGATAGCTTATGAAATGCGTCAAAAACAATTACCGCCAAATCATCCACACATTGCTAGTTCACTCAACAATATTGGTCTTATTTATAAGGCAAAAGGTGATTTTAATACAGCACTTGATTATTTTCAAGAGGCTTTGAAAATTGACGAAAATTTAAATTCAGATGATAATCTACAAAAAGCAATGAAAATCGAAAATATTGGAAGAGTATACACGGATAGAGAAGATTTCGATACGGCTCTTACTTGTTTGTCTCATGCTCTCGAGATGTTTAAACATGTTCTTCCTGATCAACACTCTGATATAGCACGATGTCTTGGTGGAATAGGATATGCTCATGAGAAGAAAGGTAATTTAGATGTTGCTCTGGATTATTATCAACAACAATTAAATATGGAAGAACAATGTTTACCTTTCGAACATTCAAATCTTTCAGTTCATCTCGGTTGGATCATTGATATCTATAAAAGAATGAATGAAATTGACAAAGCCTTAGACTTGTGTGAACAAAAGCTTGCTATTCAAAAAACAAGATTAGATGAAAATCATCCTCGTATTGCTCGAACATTAATGATCATGGCTGATTTAACTGAAGACGATAATCCAAATCAAGCATTACAATATTATGAACAAGCTCTTTCTGCGTTGGAGAAATGTACATCATCTGATTATCAAGTTACTTCTGAATGTTTGACATCAATGGCTTGTTTATATTCTGTTTGTGATATGATGGAAGATGCATTACGGTGCGAACTTAAAGCACTTGAACTTGATCGTCAGACATTATCTTCTAATCATTCTAACATTGCAAATAGCTTAAGAAATGTTGGCCTATGTTATGAAGATATGAATAACTTATCCGAAGCACTTCGTTATTACAATGAAAGTCTTACGATTTATCAAGCTAATTATGGATCGGAACATGAAATGGTGAAGGAAGGTGAAGCTATCATTGATAGATTGAAAGATAAACAGTTGCCACTATCATCTCGTAAAAAAAAGAAAACAACGAAGAAAAAATCTCACTCTATTGCAGAACCGTCATCTGGTCGTTCAAATCATAAGAAATAGTCTACAGTCGTTGACAGTAGAGAATATTTTATTTAAGTTGACAATAAACACGTTGAATAACTTCGTCAATTTTCTTTACTTTTGGATGTTGACATGGTAATGATTGATGATAGATAGTAGCAGCATTTTCATAATAAAATAATGCTTCGTTGAATTCATTTCTATCTTCATGTAGAAGACCTAAACATTGAGAGGTCACAGCAATATCAGGATGATGAGGTGGAAGTGATTTCAATCTGATTTGTAAAGATAGATTGACATGTTTTAAAGCAAGATCATAATGATCGAGACGATTATGAGTACAGCCAATGTTATAATGAGTTATAGCTAAATCTGGATGATTTGGAGGTAAATTTTTTTCCTCGATAAGAAGTGCTTTTTCGAATAAATTTAAAGCTTCCGAATACTTCATCTGTTTTCTGTATGCGTCAGCCATATTGTTATATAAATTTGCCATGTTTGGATCGTTTTCATCTTTTGCTTGTTTGAATAATTCAATACCTTTATTATACCAAGTCAATGCTTCATTGTAATCACCTTTCATCTGATGATTATCACCTATGCAACAGTATGTACCAGCAATATTGATATAATCAGATGGAGTTGTACGTAGAGACATTTCTAATGATTTATGAAACCATTGAAGACTTGAATCGTAATCACTTTCTCTTTTATGAGTAAACCATATTTATAATACAATGAAGGAAGTGATGGATCATTTGGTGGAAGTTTTTTCAATAAATCACGATAATATTTTTCTGCTGAATCGTATTTATTCATTTCACACAATTTCTTGACTTTAGTAAGAAGCACAAACTATGGCTATTGTTGAGATAGTATATATATATATATACGTTCTTATCTCATGCGAAGGTCACTTAGTGACGTACTTCTTTTTGACTTCAAAAAAAAACAAGGGTAGGCTCTCGTTGACTACTGATATCTAATTGTCACATACGTTCTTTTTTGTATTATCTTTTTTAGAAAGGATACTTGTAATATGCACATACATTTCATCATCTCTCTA